AAAAAAAAAAAATATTATAACATAATTTGTTTTATTTATTAGATTAAACAACCTTATGTACTTCACTTGTCATAGCGTTATATTCGAAAATTTTATCATGTAATATAAGACAATATGCTGACGTTTCTTTTGGTATAGGAATCTTGGTTTCGAATTCAATTCGAACGTCTACAGGTGCACTTTTAATTTTTTCATTCTGTTTCGAACAATCGATAACAACCATAGGTGCAGTGTCTTTGAATTCATCTTTAGTCAAAATAGGATCACCATTATCGATATTGTAGAAAGTATCTTGAAATGATGAATACATTTGATACAACGCTGAATATTTATCATTATCAAAATCGATGTTTAAACTGTCATATGGATAAGACTCTGAATTTAAAAAAACTTTGAGCGATGATAGAGAACAATGATCGAATCGACTCATGTCTGCAGATATAATGTTTTTACGTTTAGTTTGAAACGCTATAATCACATATCTAGGTTTTTCAGTGTGTGTTGACGTTTTAACGGCCCACGAATGTTTTGTTGTTTGTGGTATATATGGATGTTCAAATAATTCCTAGCTTCTAAAAGCAATGTAAAGTGGTTGACGAGAATCTTTTTGAAGAATTTTGAAGNCCAGCTTCTAAAAGCAATGTAAAGTGGTTGACGAGAATCTAATGTCTTCAAAAGTTGCAATCTAACACCATCCTCGACGTTTATATGCGGCATTCTCCACATAATTTTCGCGATTTTTATTTTACCATTGCCTCGTTCACATTTTAACGCGTTAATATCCACGCTAGATTTATGCAATATAAGTTCTTGACGAGAATTTATTATAATTTTGCGATGATCTTCCGCAAACCCCATGATAAATTTAAGAGGTATACAAACTTCAAAGTTTGTCTTACTCTCACCGCTCTCATTCCATCCGGCGTTTTGATATCGGTAAAGGTTAGCCGTTTGAAAAGACGCATAACCTTTCATACATGTCGTTATACCAGGATTTCTTATTTTATCGAGTTCGACCGAGTTTAATTCGTAACGAATTTCATCAAACAGAAACATAATACCGTTGTTAATTATTTTAACAAATGACGCACCTTCACCCACCGATTCCATATTTTTTTCTACTTCACCTTCGATGTGTAGTAACGATTCGCTGGGTAGAGTGTACAAATCTTGATGTTGTATCGCAATTCGTATTTCATCGTTATTCGACAGCGCATTACTAGAAAACGGTTGATACGAATGATATTCAAATTTTGTTATACTTTCTTCGAAGTATGGTTTTTCGTGTATGTTCAGAATGTCTTCCATAATGGTTTGCAAGCGTGTAACCAAGATTTAAGAGAGTATTCAAGCTATCCTTTGTTAACACTGGAAATTTTGAAACACAACTGTTGTCAATGTCGTCAAAACGTTTTCTTTTAACGTTATATCGTACTCCCATAACGGATATGAACACGAACTGTTACACTCTCACCTCTGAAATCGACAAGTTCTCCGTTCTGATCTTTAATTTCAATTTTTACGTTATCTACTTGATTAGTCAACACAGGGTAATAAATTAGATTGTTAGGTGATTCTACAATCTTATAGCCGGGCGACACCAAAGGATAAAACTCGTGAATTGAACACGTCTCGCGTCCGTTAACAAATGCACCATGTACGATATCACACTCTATTCTTATACATGATAATGGATTGATATTAGCCATTTGTTCTGATTCATGTACGACACCACCTTCAAACATTCGTTTATTAAATCCCAATAATTCTCCAATACTATTGTTTGCCGTAAAATCCACTGTTTTATCGCAATACATTTCTGATTTCAATGTATTCGCATTGGACATTAAAGTGAAAATAATATTATGTTTTCTCAATTCATTCGATAAGTATTTACTTATATCCTCTAGCTCGTATGATCCGATTGGTA